ACCTGACTATTGATCTTCTAGGTGAAACCGTGGTTCCAGCCGAAACCACTTTTCCAACCGTGAGTGAGCTCCCATCTGAAGCCGGTCTTCATGCTGATGCTGATGCAGCTTTTGATGCCGAGATTGATGATCTTTTTAACTGAATTTGTACTTTTTTCTTTTGTTACTTTGTCTTTGTAACCGGGCTATGCCCCTGTAATGCCCCTGTAATGGCTTTTCAATGAATGAAAATTTTGCTTGAACTCTCATTCCGGTTCTGATATGTATGCCTGTACTTTGTAATGCCTTCTATTACTTCAACTGCTATTTCGGTTTTAGGTGGTTAAACTATGCTTACCAGCCAACCACTCCTTAGCCGATATAATCACTTCGATTGAGGAGTACACAGAGTTGGTTTATCCAGCCAACCACTTTTTCAGCCATGCCCTTACTTCGGCTGAAGAGTAACAAGAGTTGGTTTATTCCAGCCAACCACTCTTCAGCCATTCCCTTACTTCGGCTAAAGAGTTTATTCCAGCCAACCACTCTTCAGCCATTCCTTTATTTCGGCTGAAGAGTAACAAGAGTTGGTTAATTCCAGCCAACCACTCTTCAGCCATGCCCTTACTTCGGCTGAAGAGTAACAAGAGTTGGTTTATTCCAGCCAACCACTCTTCAGCCATACCCTTACTTCGGCTGAAGAGTAACAAGAGTTGGTTTATTCCAGCCAACCTCTAAGTTAGTTTTTCCAGCTAACTTAGAATAATATTTGGTTATTCCGACCAAACGTCCTGCAGCCTGGATCCTTATCCTAGGCTTAGGAAGGTGTTGGTTTAATCCAGCCAACCTCTAAGTTAGTTTTTCCAGCTAACTTAGAATAATGTTTGGTTATTCCGACCAAACGTCCTGCAGCCTGGATCCTTATCCTGGGCTTAGGAAGGTGTTGGTTTAATCCAGCCAACCTCTAAGTTAGTTTTTCCAGCTAACTTATAATAAAATGCTTGGTTATTCCGACCAAACGCCCTGCAGCCTGGATCCTTATCCTGGGCTTAGGAAGGTGTTGGTTTAATCCAGCCAACCTCTAAGTTAGTTTTTCCAGCTAACTTAGAATAAAATGCTTGCAATGTACCTATACTAAAGCTAACTTTTACAAAGAACAACTCGTGCTGAAAAGAATTGCTTGTTTTATTGAAGAAAGAAAAAATTACATATGTTTGAAAAAGAAAAGCTAAAAGTAAAATAACTTGAGATTGGTCGTGTTCCATGGCCTAGGGATTGCTTTGCCGTCCTTGTCTTCTAGGTGGTATGCCCCTTTGCCTGCTAACCCAACCACCTTGTAAGGACCTTCCCAGTTTGGCCCTAACTTTCCATCTCCTGGGATCAAGGTGTTTCCCATTACTTTGCGCAGTACCCAATAGCCGATCTTGAATTGTCTTGGATGCACCTTTTTGTTGTATTTTCTGATTAACTCTCGTTGGTATGAGGCGATGTGAACCAGTGCTCTTTCTCTTCTTTCTTCTGCAAGATCAAGTTCCAATGTTACGGCTTCTCCATTCAAGTTTGGATCAAAATTTTTGCTTCGAATTGTGGGGAGGCCAACTTCCTCTTTCAATTCCGCCTGACATTTATGTTTTTCAAAATTAACTTACTTGATACAGCAGGGCAATTGGACACCCAAAAATATTTCTTTTTCCACATTTGTCGACTCCAGAAATGGCGGGGACGTGGACACTCAAAACAATGTTTTTCCATATTTGCTGACTCTAAAAACAGCAGGCTCGTTGTGACAACCCAACTCTATGTTATGTTAATTGATCTTAATTATGATTATAATTATGAGCTTGATATGATTTTGAGTGCTAATTATATGATTATGTGTGTTTGTCATTTTGTATCTGTTCACTGTAGGAAAATCTGCTTGATTTTCGGCTACAAAAATTCAATTGAAGGCCGTAGAGGCAACACAAATTGAAATTGATTGAATTTTTATGATTAGCGCAATTTTAAGAGCCTATGGTGAAATTTAATTAAAAATTGAATCGAATTGAATTAATTGGATTAAATCAATTGAAGTAAGCATAGTGAATTAGCCTTAATCGGAATTAAAACTGGACAAGCTCTAAATCTGTTTGAATTTCAAACCAAACAGTGCCTAAACAGTTTGTATCTGTTTAATTCAAATTAAACAGGTACAGTACCTGTTTAATTCAAAATGGAAAGCCACCAATCTATCTATAAATAGACTAAGTCCCCCCATTTGGAATATATTCCAATTTTCGTACTCCATCTTCTGCTATAAATTTATTCTTCATTTTGCATTTAGTTCTTGTTACAGAGAGTATAAACACTTAGTGTGTTCGACGAACGAATAAATTGTAGTGCTGCTTTTATTCGTTGATAGATCATTTTATCCTGGGAGATAGACGTCCAGATTCTGAAAGCACCGTGGGGAGGACGAATCTGTCTTAAGGACACAGTGTTAAACACTGGACTTGATCGGATAGTTATTCAAAAGAAATTAACCAAGTAAGTTGTTTAATTTTTATTCCGATTTTAATTTTGTTTATTTAATCAGATTTTAATTTTGTTTTTATAACAAAATAAAATTTGTTTTTATTTATTTATTTTTATTTCGAGTTTGATTTTTGTAATCAAACAAATTCTCTCATTTTCTTTATTTCTTTATATTCTTGTTGTTGTTTTGTACACAACATAATTTAATCTATTTAAATACAGTGAAGATTGTCCAACAAATATATCGTTTGGAATATCATTGTCTTTTATGATTTTAAATTAACAAATACGTTCTTATTAAATTTTGTCATTTAACAGAGAATCGAAAAAATAAAATTTCTTAACTCATAATTATCAATTGAAACATATTCTCGACATCATAAGAGTTGTAAATTGAATTAATGGTTAATTAATGAAATAAATAGTTTGTTTAGCAATTAGAAATTTTAAGAGTAAATTATAAATACACCTCTTGAGATTTACTTAAAATATAGATTGCTTCCTATAATTTGAAAATTACAAATATCCCATTATCAGAATTTTTAATTTAATAGAATTATCTGAAAAAATAAATTTTTTAACTGCTCTTCTATACAATGATAAATTTTTTTAAATTATTAATTGAAATAAATTTCTGACATTATTAAAAATTGTTAATTAATTTGATGATTTATTAATAAAATGGACAATTTGTTATAAAATTAGAATCTTCAAGGGATGAGATGCAATTATTAAAATTCGGAGAAGATAAATTATATTTGAAGCAAATCTCAAGATATATTTATACTTTAACCAAATTTTAAAAGAATATATAATTTAATCAAACGAATGTATTTATAAGGGGCATTTTTTCATAAATATCTTTTCATCTACTTATGTTCTATTTAGCCCACGTTATTTACTTATTATGTTTCAATAAGCTATATGAGTGATATAGTTACCGAAATATTCCTAATAATAGCATTCATATTGATAGTGTGAATATTCTGTGATGTGAATGTTTATACTATCAATGTGAATATTCACACGTCAATGTGAACATTCACACTGTTAATGTGAAAGTTCACATCACGAAATCGCCAACTGCTTAAAAAATATCTGTAATGATAAAATTGTCCATAACGTACCTTAAATATGAGAATTAAAATTTGGTGGATCAAATGTCTAAATAATGAGACTTAATGGATATAAGAATATTTTATGAACTAATTGAGATAGAAAAACTTAAAAAAGGATTCTCTAATAGATCTCCTAATTTATGATTTATTTTTTTATTTAGGCATCGTTTTTGGGAATTCTAATTTTTAATATAAAAATAAAAAAAATTACTAAAAAAAAGTCAAAAAATCAACAAATTATACCAAAAAAAATTAAAGATTTTTTTTCCATTTTTATATATATATATATATTTTTTTGTAAAAAATTAAAAAATCATTCAAAAGCATATTCACCATGTTTGTTTTTAGTTTTTTGAAAACACTTTTCAAAAAATTATACTATTTTATTTTCCATATTTTTTTGATTTTTACTAATTTAAAAAATCAACAAATTATACAAAAAAAAATTAAAGATTTTTTTTTCCATTTTTATATATATATATTTTTTTGTAAAAAATTAAAAAATCATTCAAAAGCATATTCACCATGTTTGTTTTTAGTTTTTTGAAAACACTTTTCCTAAAATTCTACTTTCTTATTTTTTGTAATTTTTTGTTTTTACTAAATTTTTTAAATATTTTAAGCAATTTTTTAAAAATTTTTAGTCACACCTAACATAAATACACTTAAAAAAGTATAATTTCGTGAAAAAAATCTTAAAAAAATTCACTAAATATTAAAAAAAAAAAAAATTCAATATATTTTTCGTATTTTTGTGTATTTATTAATTTTTAAAAATATTTTTTCACAAATATTCACTTTGCTTGGTTCCTCTTTTTCAAAAACACTTTTTAAAAAATTATAATTTCTTGTTTTCCGTATTTTTTTTGTTTTTACTAAATTTTTTAATATTTTAAACAATTTTTTTTTTTACTTTTTAGACACAACTAATATAAATATACCTAAAATAAAAAAAATTCACTAAATACCAAAAATATAAAAAAAATACGAGAATTCAGTACTTTTTTTTGTATTTTTATGATTTATTAATTTTTTAAAATATTTTTTCACAAACTTTTTACTTTTTAGATACATCTAAGTAAGGTACATGTAAAAAAATAAATTTTTTTAATATTTTAAAAATATTCACTAATAATTAAAAAAACCAAAAAAAAAAAACTCAAGTTTCAAAAAAGTTAATCCAAAAAAACTCAAATTAAACACATCGATTTTAATTTTTAAATACATTTAAGTAACGTACATCTTAAAAAAAAAGTTAAAATTTTAAAAACATTCATTAAAAATAAAAAACTATAAAAAATAAAAAATTCAATTTTTAAAAAAAATTAAATTCAAAAAATTAAAACCAAACCACTTATTAATTTTTTACCTTATATTTTAATTAAAAAATTAAAAATTTACTAAAAGAAGCGTTATTAAACACGAAATCGTTCAATTGTGGTTTGGCGGTCGGTTACGAATGCTCTCTTCTTCCAATTCCCTCTACCACTGTAAGATCTCAAAATCTAGACGTCAAATTCATGGAATTCACTCTCACAGAGATCTGAATTCTCTCTCTCTCTCTCACAATATCTATTTCTATTTCTGTTGCAGGAAACAATAACAAAAAAGAAAGAAAAATGAGTAGTTTGGTGGAGAGACTTCGTGTTAGGTCTGAAAGGAGACCCATTTACAACCTAGATGATTCGGACGACGAGGCTTATCTCGATAAGGGAAAATCTGGGTCTTCTCACCACAAGATTGAAAAGATAATCAGACCTGATTCGGTCTGTACTTCACTCTCTCTCTCTCTTGTTTGCTTCTTTTGGGGTTGCCTGTTTCAATTGAATTGGGTAGTGAATTCATGAATTTTTTTTGCTTAATTCATAAAAAATGGAGATACGGACATGGGGATACGGCAATAAAATATGTTTTCATATACTTTTATTTGCTAAATTGCTATGTAGATTAACATTACAACCACGAACAACCAATATTAACAAAAACTAAACCTAATTCTATTTTTAAAAAAAATTTTAAAAGCACTTTTAAATTAGCACCGAGAGTTTTTTTTTTTTTTTTTTTTTTTTAATGGATGATCTATTATTTTTTTTTTGTTTTTTTAATGGATGATCTATTAAAAATTTAAATCTAAGAAAAAAAAAAATAAAATTCAATATTCAATATTCATCGAAAGTACTGAATAAAATGGAGAAAAATACAACTTGACATGTCCCTACTGTGTTCTCGAAGTGACTTTGGCGTGTCCCTTGAAAATAAATTAATTAAATAAGGGAACACACCGCGTGGTGTGTCCCATACGTGTTCTCGAAGTGTCCGTGTGTCCGACACGGATACAACACTTGTTTTGAAGTGTTGGTGCTTCATAGACAGCCACCATTGTTGTTTGGGTATTGGGATTTGTAACCTTTTTAGATATGGAAGAATCAAATTTCTGAGCTTCTTCTTTGTTATTATAGGCTATTTAGCTGGGATTCAATTGAGTTGAGCCAGATGAGTTTTGGGTGGTGTTGGTGAATCCTAGGTAGAGCTTTAGGACAGATCGTTTGACAAGCACTAAAAAAATTAATATTGGAACGGCACAAATAGTGTAGTGAGATACATTGTGCTCTGCAAATAGAACTACCATTCTTCTATGGAGAATAATCTTCTTTTGCAGAGATATTCTGTCTGGTACCTGAAACCTAATAGAATGTTTACTTTATAATTGACTTGTAATGTGAAGGATTGGAATGATGCTATACTTTTGGTTTGATAGAAGTATTAGCAAAAAGAGATCCCATAAAAAAATTTAGCTTGTGCTTTGACAATAGTTTTTGGCTAGTGACAGTATACTCCTAGGAGGTTCCATCTTTATATTGACAGGTACTATACCAGGACTGTTTTGGATGCCTGCTGATATTGTTGATTTGAAATGCTTAAATTTTTTCAGCTTATATGAGAGATTTTATGTCGTTCTTGTCTATTTTATCAATTCTAGTAGATGTGTCTTGTCTAAATTAAATATTTGTTGTTGTGTTATTCATTCTGTCTATAGAAGGACGATTCATGTCGAGCATGCAGTGAAAGTGGAAATCTTTTGTGCTGTGAAACATGTACATATGCCTATCATCCCAAGTGTTTACTTCCACCGTTGAAAGCGCCTCTTCCTAGCAACTGGAGGTGCCCTGAATGTGTATGGTTCTGTTATGTTTGGTCTTGCTAGTCTTGTTAGACTCATATGCAAATGTAATGCTTTGGTGCTAACTGAGATTTTAAATATTGACTCTGCAGGTTAGTCCTCTAAATGATATTGACAAGATATTAGACTCTGAAATGCGCCCTACTGTTGCTGATGACAGTGATGCCTCTATGCTGGGCTCAAAGCAAATATTTGTGAAACAATATCTTGTCAAGTGGAAGGGATTATCTTATCTTCATTGCACATGGTAGTTCTGTTATTAGTGATTATTATTGTTTTTTCTTTTGTTAGCATTATTATTAGAGTGCCTAGTTATCTTCATTGGTTTACTAGTCTCCTAAAGTAGCAATCTTGCAATAAAATTTTCTACCATGTAAGCTATCTGTAATGCTTCTAATTTTCGTTTTGGTGCCACAATAATATGCTTCTTTTCTTGTTTTACTCGATTTGCCTGTTGTATTTATTTGTTTTTTTGTTTTGTATTTGTTTTGTTCCTATAACCTTATCTGCTAAATACTATATCTTAGGGTACCCGAGAAAGAGTTTTTAAAAGCTTACAAGACACATCCTCGCTTGAGGACCAAAGTAAACAACTTCCATCGGCAAATGTCATCAATTAGCAACTCTGAAGATGATTTCATGGCGATTCGACCCGAATGGACTACTGTTGATCGGATTCTTTCTTGCAGGTTCAGCCATCCTAACTTTTATGTGGTTCTCATTTATGAATAGTGTTCAATTCTGGCAGTCTGAACCAACTGTTTTTTTCCTGCACTATCTGCCTAAATTATATTTTGAGCCACACTTTGGTAGCTCCAGAATGTTAATTTATTTGGGGAACTTTGTTCCAAACCTTAAATGTTATTATGTGAAATCATGAATTAAACAGGTTGAATTTTTCTGAATCAGCAAATGGAAACAGAAAACAGGACTAGAGCAAAAACAAGCCTAATAACTGTTCAGTGAGCATGTTGGATTTCTATGCACCCATTGACGTATAGAGCTCTTAGTGTTTTTTCTTTTCTGTTCTTTTTTCTTTTCCTTGAAGACATTATGGTAAGTTGGAGTGAAACTACCGTATTTGGCTGAAATTTGTTTAAGTGTTGATATGACACTTAATTGCTATTGAGTGATCTTGGATGGATGATAATGCTAGAGTTGAATGTTCTCTAGTCAAATTTCTCCAACTCCTGGTGCAGAGCCAGACATACCAGCACCCCTAGAGGGCTTCAGATGGGCTTGCTATGGGGTAGTATTTTTATTTTTTCCTTGTCTCTTTGAGTCACAAACTTACTTTGTAGCAGGACGGCAGTGATTTGTTCTCTTTCTTAAGAGAGTAGATGTGTGCCCGGATTAAGTAATGAAGTACTATTCCTGAAAGGCTCTTGGAACATCCATTGTTGGGTTTTGTGGCATTTCTTTGGTTTGATTTGGTTCGGATTCTCATCCTTCAGATTTGTGTCACTCTAGAATAATGATCTTATGCAGTACCAAATCAAACACATTTGGAAAAGAAATCATTTAGTAATAGTAGTTTTATGGAAAGGAGAATAGAAAATGATGTATTAATGCCTGGATTGAATAACGGAGGGGCTGGCTAAGAGGAAAGCAATGACATTAATGCCATTTGTGGTCATATTTACTGTTCCTGAGAGGCTTTGGGAACTTCCATTGTTGGGTTTTGTGGTATTTCTTTGGTTTGATTTGGTTTGGATTCTCATCCTTCAGATTTGTGACACTTTATTATAATGATCTTATGCAGTACCAAATCAAACACATTTGGAAGAGAAATCATTTGGTAATAGTAGTTTAATAGAAAGGAGAATAGAAAATGATGTATTAATTTGCAATAACAATCCTAATGAATGTTTACTTGAGCCTGTTCAAATTTTATACACCAATTAACCTATGAAGGCTTCAGAAGATTTATGCGCAGATACACACACGTATATGCATGGATGTGTTTCCGCAAGGAAGAAAATAGGTTACAATGGAATGGAACTATATCTTGGCCATGGCGAATTTCTGCAATTCTTTGTTCAAAACTATATCAGTTTTCAGGACCAGGTGGTGTAGAACCAAGCAAATGGAACAACAATAATCAAGGTTTATGAAATTATAATCTCTCAATATTCATTCATTCATTCATTCAAAGCATTACATAATCCCATATATATATATATATATATTAGGGGTGTTCAAAAAAATCGGTGGAACCAGTCCAATCCAGTCCAAACCGTCGATTTGGTCTGGTTTTTATTAGCTTCGGTTCTAGTTCGGGTTCTAATTTTGAAAATGGTGGAACCGTTCAAATTGGTCCAGTTCTTGGTTTCAAGACTTTGGTTACAATTCCGAACCGAACCGTGACATATTTGTTTATTATTTTCTTGTATATAAAAATTAAAATATAAAAAGTTTCTTATAAAATTTGAACACTAGTGTTCATTGTGAAATTGATAAACTCTAACTAACGTAACCAAACTAATTATTGTTAGTTTGTTTACTAACATAATTTTTTGTTATAACCGTAAAACCGAACCAAACCAAATCAAATCAAATCAGTTTCTATGGTTTGGTTTTGGTCCGGTTCCACAGGTTTATTGGTTCGGTTACGGTTCCAATTTTTCTAGAATCGTAGGAACTGGTTCGGGTCTTGGTTTTCTCTAAAACCGAACAAAATCCATGTTCCAAACCAAATAAGGTAATAACGGAAGGATAATATTTAATCCCCCTAAAAAAGAGAACCCAAAGTGAGGTGGACTAATCCACACCATTAGGTCAAAGCCACATCATCAAGACAAAGCCACGTCATATATATAAAAAAAATTATTTTTCTTTTAGATCAGATTCATTTTGATAGCCTAGGAAACCATAGAATTAGCAAGGATTGGATATAAGTTAGTTCAATAAGGAAGAACCACCTTTGCAAAAACACCTCAATAGGCAAAAGAAATAATTGTTCCAAGATTACCTTATGAACAAATATATGATTATTTGGGAAAGCAGATTCTGGAGCATATTTATCAAAAAGAGGATGTTACCTTTTAGGGGATTATCTGATGGAGCAAGATCTAGATGAATTAGATACAATACTGGAAGAGTACGATGGTGACTATGATTTTGCTGATGTCATGGGTGACGAAGGAGCATGGAATCTAGACAATTTTATGGATTAACAAAATCATGGTTGGATTGGCAAACCGTGGGTTGAGGGAGACAAATTACTAGCTTGCCTCCTGTTAATAAATGAAGTATAAAACTCACTGTGTAAATATTTTATTATTATAGATTAAGTTGAAGTTCAGATTTGAAGTCTATAAGTACCTATATAAAGGTTTTCAGTTGTAATGAAGGGGACACCGATTCCTCAGAGTATTGTTGAGCCAAGAAAGAAGTCTGGATCTCAGGCCTTTTTAGAGAAAAAAATATTCTAACAATCTAAACAGCCCAGAGACATCCCTCTAATCTTGTAACTTTTTTTTTTCTCTTCTAGTGATAAGATTAGCTTTTGTGTTTAGAGTGAATATTAAGTGTGTTTCTTTGTATTTTTAGTGTTCAATCTTAGACCACCTGTATAGCCAAATAGAAGAATCTCTAAAGTTACGATATGAGGTAGGAAACAAAAGAGATTTGCTCTGAGCCTGATTTAAGGAAGGTAAGTTTGAGGATAGCCTTCTCTATAAACTGGAAGCTTGTCAAACACCAAAGCCATATGTTGACTACGTTCAGGTAACGGTCAAAACCTTTAGATATTGTTCTTATTTTGGAAGCATAATGAGCCTAAAATTAAAATTATTAAAAATATAGAGATCCTAAGCTACTCACTTGGTATTAATATTATATGAGTATTTATCAACATTTCTATGTTCAAGATTTATTATTAGATCACAATCAATTACCGGTGCTAATCCGAACTTTCAATAACATTGTAAAAATTTACTTGATATTGGTATTGCTAGAGATATAGAATTTCCTAGAACAAGAATTGATAGAATAACTCAAGAAATTATATATTATCAAGAACAACTAGAATTAATATCTGAAATATAAAAATAAATAAATTAAATATTATTTTTACCGACATCACACTAAATCACCTTGCCTAGTGTTACACGGTCAATTTTTGTTTCAAATTCCCAACTTGTAATGGCACTAAGTTGGACACTTAGTCTCAGCCAATTATGAATACACACACGCACACAGTGTTATAACAAGTAAGAGAATAGGCAACAACAAGGTTGTTAAAATCGGGATCCTACGTTGGATCGTTGAAGGTGTTTATAGGATCGGATCGTAGAATCGGATCGAGGATCGTAAGATCCTACCGAAAAAGACAAATTACATAATAATTTAATTTAAATAAATATTTCTTATAAAGTATACACAAAATGAACTTATATTCTATTAAAAAGAAGTGAAGATATTGTGAAAAATATAATACTCCATGTAAAATGTACATATAATATTACGCAATAGAAAAACCGACGGTAAAAGTTCTGTATTTTATCAAAAAAGAAGGTGAAAAAGAAGAAGAATTCTATAACAAAATACTTTACAATGTACAATAATGCATAAAAAGTGAAGAAAAAATATTTAACAATATTGGAAATGAAAATAGATTAAGAACTCAAAAGAGTAGCTTAGTCGAAAGATAAGGTTTGTTGTTAGCATCCCTAGTGGAGCGGATTCGAGTCAAAAATAATTTTTCCAGAAATTGGGATAAAGTTGCAATCATCTTACCCTTGTTAGACTCCGCTAAAGCTAAATTTGTTTTTCCGACTATTTAATTTTCTTAAATTACCGCAATATTTGAATGTTTGTTTCCTAGTTTGTTTTTCTTAGTCTATTTGATTCAATACTACTTAATTTTTAATATTTATTTTGACGACATAAATTGGTATTTAGACAACAAACATAAAATTTATAACAAAATATGTCATACAATACAAAACAAGGCTTATAAATTGGATCGGATAGGATCGGATTCAGATCGGGATTCCACGATCTTATAAGATCTCACTACTAGGATCAAAAGATCCTACCTACAATGAGTTTTTTACATGATCCGGATCGATTGTACTAAAATGGATCGTAAGATCGTAGGATCGTAAGATCCAGATCGGGATTCTGATAACCATGGGCAACAAGTGATTACAGGAAAAACTCCCAACCTTTATTAATTGCACCAACAATACAAAGGATGCCTATGGAGCCTCTTACCAACACTTAGTTAATTTTCGAGTTCCATGGGTATGCCTAAATAGGCTTACAATCAGTTACAAACTTTACAACCAGCATTATAAGGAAAACATGCCAAGTGGCATGGCAGTTGACACCCCCAACTGCCTAGGGACTTGGGATCATTTTTGGGACATAACTGCTAGTAACTGTTGCTAACTCCCTGTCTTGATTCCAGATGTCCAGATTTGCCTTGTCTTTGCTCAACATGGGTAACTGCTGCCAGACAAGCATAACTGCTTTGAACTGCCCATGTTGTTTGCCTTCTCAATCAGCCACGAATTTGGTTGTCTTGGCCCCCAGACCAAGTTTTGCCTACTGAATGCTTTGAACCCCCAAGTATGCTGCAGCCCACATTCGAGTCATGTTAATGCCTTGCATTTGTGCTACTGCTGCCCATACTTTGGCCAAGGGTCCCGTGCTGCTGCCTCAGCACTTTATCAATGTTTCA